ATATATATATATATATATATATGCATGTATGAGTATGTATCACTATATGTTTTCTTTCTCGTTTCATTTTATTTTAGTAGAGAAACGTCGCCAACAAGAGAGCTCTACGGAGACTCGGAAAAATCATTGATGGAGTTTTCGCCCCAATCAAAGAAGAAGAAGCCATTCTCTCCGACGAATCCTTGCCAGATAACTTCAGCGGCGGATAGTAAAACGCCATCGGCGAAGGAGCTGGAAGAGTTCTTTGCAGCAGAAGAAAAGTACCAGCAACAGCGATTCGCTGAAAAGTGAGTACAAAATACAAAATATTATGTTTCTCCGGGCATGATAATAATCATCAGCCAAAACGCTCAATTTAGCATTCATGAGCCACTTGTTGAATTACTTTAAATGGAAACAGAGTAATAAATTTTGATTTGATTGATTGGTTTTGCATTGTTTTCAGGTACAACTATGATATAGTAAATGATGTTCCATTGGAAGGCAGGTACGAGTGGGTTCGTTTGAAGCCATGAATGAAATGAATACCGCATGAAGAAAGAAGGCATCTTCTCGTTGTATATTTTGTGGGTATTTATGTTTATGATATTATCATAACTTTTTAGCTGGCTCTATGTGACTGAATAGCAGTTTACTTGTTTATGTTTTATTCAGATGTAAGTGCTTGGAGTAGTACTTTTTGGGCACTTTCTATCTGGATTTGTGGATGGTATTTTCAAATTTGTGTGCTTATTCTGTAGGATAATGAAGGGATTGAACTTTTATGTGTGTTATTGCTTTTGGAATTGAATAGGGTGTTTTGTTTGGGCTTATTTTGGCTTATTTCTTGATGGATGCAAGTTTTGAGTAAGTTTTATAGCCAATTTTATCATTATTATTTCATTTGGAAGGAATCTGGTTGATGCAACATGGAAGAGACTTTAACTTGAACATAAAATGGAACTAATTAATTCTTTTTGTGGTTTAATGAAGCAGTCATAGGATGGAGTTATGATGAGGGTAAGTTTCACAGCAATCCATTTATGGAAAATTGACATGATCTATGAAGAAATGAATATGATCTGCATGTGTATGGCATATTGAACGTAAAAGAATTCTTTTTCGTCTTATAGCTTACACGTGTACATAATGTATTTTAGTACGGATAACATAATAGAGCTACTTGAAATTGATCTAGTCGAGATGATTGAAACTCAAGAGGTGAATGACGACTGTATTTGGGTATTTCATATTGAGCAATGAGCCAAAAATAAGTAATTTATTTCATATCTAAATTTTTTTGTGGTTTAAAAAGTAATTTATCTTGTTAGTAGAAAAAATAAAACCCGAGAATTTCTTCTCAGGGGTCATTTTACAACGATAATAATTGTAATACAGGTAAATGACAAGTTTAAGTCTAACCGTGATCTATTTATGAAAAAGCCACGTGTAAGGTTTTTGATCAAAAAAATAAAATAAAACAAAAATTGAATATGATGTGCACGTGTTGTATGATGTATTGAACATAAAGTAATTCACGTTCATCTAGTAGCTTACGCGTGTAGATAATGTGGTTTAGTATTAGATATCATAATAGAGCTGCTTGAATTGATCTAGATGAGTTGATTGAAGCTCAAGAAGTGAATGTCAACAACATAACTAGTCTCACTCAAGTGTTTCCTATAGAAGAATGAACTAATATAAGTAATTTATTTCATATTTAAAAAGATTTTTTTTCTTCTTTTCAAATGTATAATTTAATATATCATCTACGTATATGTATATGTATATTGTTGAAGATAAAATAAAATTAAGTTTTTCCTTTTGTTTTCCTTTTTTCTGTGATACTTTTTTATTAGATATTGTAATATGTAGATATGATGAGTTTAAATTTCACCAGTTACCAATTTATGAAAATGCCAAGTGTAAACGCTTTTTTATAAATTAAAAAAAAATGAATATGATCTATATGTATATAGCATATTTGACATAAAGTAATTATATGTTGTCTAATAGCTTACACTTGTAGATAATTCGATTTAGTATTCAATATCATGATAGAGCTACGTGAATTAATCTAGATGAGTTGATTGAAACTCAACAAGTGAACGTCGATAACATGAATAACCTCCCTCAGAGTGTTTAATATCAAAGAACAAGCCAAAAATGGGAATATTATTTCATATCCAAAAATAATTGTTTTGATATATAAAAGAATATAAATATATGTCTATATAATGTTGAATATAAAATAAAGCTCAATAATTTTTTTTCCCGGATGGTGATTTTACTAAGGTATTTAGCATGGGGACATGATGAGTTTGATTTGCTAAGTGAACGAGCCTGAAAGCGCTTCTCATTTCACCATGACCCATTTATGTTAAATCTTGTATAAAGTTGAAGATAAAAAGCAATGAACATGATTTGCAAGTGTATGA